GGTCCTTGTTTGGAGTGAAGATGGAGATCAAAGCCAGGGGCCTATGTAGGCTGGGCAGGCACTCTGTCACTGAGCAACCCCAGCCCTAGACTGCATTTTAGCCAAATCCTGGGGGTCTGTGTGCATGTTAACATTTGAGAGGCACTGGGCTAGCACACACCTGGCCCAGTTCCGGTCCTCTTATGGAACAGTTAGGGTCAACGGGTGCCACGACTTAATGAGTAGGACACCACCGTAAGGAAGAATGGTGCCTCAGGAAGACAGAGAAAATAAGTGTATAGGAACTGCCTCTGGTCAATGTTCTCATTGACTGGAAGTCAGTTAATGAGAGTCCTGGTATCTGGCATTTCTTCAAATAGATTAAGTAGATTAAATAACACAACAAAGTTCTGTGTACAATCAGGGCAGGCAGCACTGACTGGATAACACAATATTCATCCCCAACCCTTTCTTCCTGCCTACCTCTATGATAGTGCATACAAGGCAGAGTACTTGCTTTCCCAGGAAGAGCGGCCATGTCACAGAATTCTGGCCAATGACATGTTGGAAACTTACTAGCCCCCCCACACACACACACATCCTAGTAGCTGAGGTTGAACTCTACGTCTTCACACTGAGCTACATCACCAGCCCATTTAAAAATTTTGAGACAGGTTTTCCCTGAGGTGCCCAGACTCAAACTTGAGGTGCTCCAGCCTCACACTCCCTGGTAGCTGAGGTTACGGGTGTGTACCACCCCACCTGGCTACAGACCTTGATGTCAAAGGTGATGGCACTGAGGTCACTGGCTGGATATTGAATACTGTGACCTATGCCAGGGCCACACCAAATCCTAAAAACCCCAAGAAACAACCACCAGCCTCACCAGGATGGACTCACTATTGTCTTTCCAAGGGCAAGGTCAACAGGTGAACATGACAGACCCCTGGATACCAGATTTAAGAGCCAGGCAAACCAACTCAGTAATCAAGATAATTAAGTTATTTTTTGAGTACCAGAGATTGAACTCAGGACCTTGCGCTTGCCAGGCAAGTGCTTATTCTACTGAACTATCTCCTCAGCCCAAGATAAATAATATTTCAATGCAATATATTTTTATGGTACTGGGGATTGAACCCAGGTTGTTCACACTAAGCTAAATCCAGTCTCCTCCCTAGTTGTTATTATTTTTTTAAAGAGACAGTGTTTCATTAAGTTTCTAAGTTCCCAAGGCCGGGATTGAACTTGGAATCCTTCTCTCTCAGATGCCCTAGTAGCTGGGAGTATAGGTGTATGCTTTCATGCCTGGCTCCGTGTAGGTTTGTTTTTTTTTTTTTTTTTTTTTTTTAATCAGAATTAATGAAAAAAAAATTTTTTTTTAATTTTATTTAGTCGTGTGTGTGTGTGTGTGTGTGTGTGTGGTCACCTCAGCCCACCAGGGGGCAGGGCTGGCTGGCATGTGGTGCTGGGGGATTGAACCGCGGTCCCTGTGCTTTGCTAAGCTTGTTCTAAGTAGGTGCTTTAGACCACTGAGCCATCTCACCAGCCCCGTAATGAAAAAAATTTAATGCACAAAATATCAAAATTTAAAATAAGCCACCATGCACTAAACTAAATTCAAAATGGATCAAAGATCTATTAATACAGAAACATTGAATCTGCTGGAAGATAAAATAGGTAAAACTCTTGAAGACATTAGTGTAGGCAAAGACTTTAAGAATACAACCCTGATCGCACAGGAACTATCACAAAGCATCAATAGCTGGAATCTCATCTTATTAAAAAGGTTTTGCATAGCAAGAAAAACCACCAACAGAGTGAAGTGACAATCCAGAATGTGGGAAAAAATGTTTGCCAGCTGTTCCTCAGACAAACGATTACTATTGGGAACATATAAATAAGACCAATCCAAAAATGGATGTTGGAGATGAATATACACTTTTTAGATGAATACAAACAGCAAAATAAATGTATTTTTAAAAAGGTGTGGGCTGGCCAAATAGCTCAACGGATTAAAGCACCTACAAGCAGGCACAGGGGCTGGGGTTCAATCCCCAGGCCTGCTGTGCCGGCCTATCCCTGGGACGCACTGAGATGGCAACTGAGACTGGGCATGGTGGCACATGTCTGTAATCCTAGTTCTTCTGTAATCCTAGCTCTTGGGAGGCTGTAAACAGGTATATCACTCCGAGTCCGATCTAGTAGTCTAGTAGTGAGACCCTGAACACCCTGTAGACCCTTCCCTAAAATACAAAAAAAAAAAAAAAGAAGAAAAAAGAAAAAAAATGGTTCAACATCACTGGTCATTTAAGAGATGCAAATTAAAACAACACTGAGTTTCCATCTCACCCCAGAAAGAATGGCTATTTTCAAGAAATCAACAAATGCTGGGGAAGCTATGGGGAAAAAGGAACCCTTCTCTACTGTTGGTGCGACCACTAGGGAAATCGGTGTGGAGATTCCTCAACAAGCTAGGATTGGAGGTCCCATTTGACCCAACTGTTTTTCTTCTGTGTATCTTCCAAGAAGAATTAAAAATATCATACCATGGCTATGTATGTGCACCCATGGTTTTGTTTTGTTTTGAGGTACCGGGGATTGAACTCAGGACCCTGTGCAAGCACTTATTCTACTGAGCTATCTCCCTGGCTTCACTCATGTTTATAGCTCCACAATTTGTAATAGCTACTGTTTCTCAATAAAATTAATTAAAAACATTATAATAGCTAGATCTTGGAAACAACCCAAATGCCCATTAACAGAGGAATGGATAAAAAAGATGTAGTCTTTTTATATAATGGAGTATTATTCAGCCATAAATAAGGATACACTGGGGACTTTTATAAGTAAATGAATGCAACTTGAGACCATACTCATAAGTGAAATAAACCAGATGCAAAAGTGTAAACACTGTATTCACTTTCTGGTGTAAGAAGCTGAAAGAAAAAATGAGATCCAAAATGTACAATAGATATTGTTAAATGGGAAGAAACTTCAAAAGGAAAAAGAAACTAGTTTGAGAGAAAGGAAAAAAGAAGAGAAAAGCAAAAAGCATATATATATATATATCACAAAAGGCAGTTAGAATAGTTATACTACTAATTTCTCTCAGTTCATTGAAAAGGTAGTTTTGTGCTAATCTTGTGTGGGCAGTTAAATGCTGGTATTGCATACCCTGAGTAACTAATGTAAAGATAATGTGCAGTGTATTAGGCATTGTTATCCTACTGTATTGTTTTGGGATTTGGTTGTTCTGTTTCTTTTTCTTTAAAAGTAAATAAATAAATAAATCTTTAAAAAACAAGATCTGAGAATATAAGCCCTAAACTAACCAAAAAAAAAAAGAAAAGAAAGAAAAAGAAAAAGGTTGAATCATTCTACTTGATAGGACAGAGGATATCTGGAATTCTGTTTTGAGAGTGAGAAATACACGACTGCCTTCCGGGGCTTGGGTGGCCAGCATGCAGGCAGAGGCCTGCTGCTGGAGTGTAAGTAAAATATCGTCCTTTGAGTTCAAGCAAGGAGAGCAGTATGTTCTTGTGGGCTATTTTGGGCAAACTTTAATGTGTATTAGAGTTGGCTATAGATAAATGAACACAGAAGGACTGAGAACAGAAATTCCTCTTCTCAAACTAGACAGTCCCTAGAGGAAGGTAAGACTGGGAGTGGACCTTACAGGAAGGAAAAGGGACAAAGAGATGCAGTCAGGGAATAAGGCTCCTGCTTCGTCCTGGGCTCACTCCCTAGAAGACTCCAGCAGCTCCTCTGGCTCCTCCGAGTTAGGGGATCTGGACAGCCTCGTGCTGTGCGGCTACCGGGACTTGTGAGGATCAGCTGCCATGAAATGAGTGAAAGCCGTCTGGACACTACCCAGCACTACCGAGCATCCTGGACTGGTACTGGGTGGTGAAGGATAGCAGGACTTTGGGAGAAGGCTTCGGGAGGAGAGGCCTGCGGGCAGAGGGGATGGAAGGCAGAGCGCAGGGTAGGAGGCTGGCCCACAGGAAGCCGGGCTGGTGCTTTTCAGGCCACGAAGGAAGCAAAGCCAGAGATCCCAAGCCCTGAAGGAGAAAACCAAGCCTGCCGGGCTCAGTGCAGCCCCAGGAGAGCGGGGACCACACAGCATGGATCAGAAGTGCAGGTGAGGCATGACCGGTGCACACCTTCTCTGCTCCTGGGGGGCCCCTATGGAGGCGGGCAGGGCTGTGACCCGTGCGTGCATCTTTGTTTCTGGGAGCTGGAGCACTGTGCCCCGGTCTCAAGGATGAAGTGATGGCCTAAAGGCTGGGGCACTCGGGACCTCTTTACCCCCACAGGTGGCGCAGCCTAAGCACTGAAAAGCAGGTTCTGTGTACAAGGGATCACCCTCCTGGCAGCCAGCACCTAAGCCTCTGAGCAGCCTCTGAGCGCAACTCATTCCGGCTGAAGCCAGTTAATCCTAATTTTCAGGAAGGGTCCGTGTGGTGTAAGGGTCCAGCAGACGTAAGGCTACAACGACTGGAAATCAGGGTGGGTGGAAAAAAACTACACGGTGATTCAATTTCATACAACTATAGTATACACATTCCTGCCCAGGCGTTCGCGCCTACCTGGTTAAATCCGATCAAGATCTGTCACGTTGCAAACGGTACTGGGTTTAGTTCATCGTATCACGCTAATGTCAATGCCCTGCTTTTGATAATGTATCTTCTGTGAGACGCTGACGGAAGTTGGGTGGATAATGGGTACGCGGAACTTCTGCGGTCATTTTGCAACTTCTTGTGAGTCTGTAATTATTTCAAAATGAAAAGAACACGCACACACACACACAGAGAAAAACAAGAGAACTTCCTCAGCCCAGCCCCGTCCGCCGCAGACTGCCCCACACCGCACACGTTCGACCTCACCCAGGGCTCGCCTGCCCGAGAAGCCGGGCGAGGCTGAGGCTGAGGCTGAAGCCAAGGGGGCGGGGCGGGGGCGGGGTCGCGCATGCGCAGTCGGGCGGACCGGGCGCGCCGGCGGCAGCGAGCGCATGCGCAGTTTCAGCCCCGGGCCGCCGCGGTCACCCCTTGCCGCTGCCGCCGCCGCGGGGGACTGAGTGCCGTGGCCCCTCTCCCTTGCCGTCTTTTCCGGCAGTTGGTGCTTTTCCAGCGGTCCTCTCCCGCAAAGACTCCTCGGCCCCGACCGCAGAGCGCCTTGCGCGTCGCCTTCCCCCGTCTGAGCGAAGGGCTGCCGCCGCGGGGGCTGCGCCTCAGCAGGTCGAGACCACTGGCCCGGCGGGCGTCCTCGGCTGTCGGCCGCTGCCCCGCCTCCCCGGGGCTCTGGTGAGTGGCCGCGGCCGTCTCGGCCCCGCCCGGGCTTTCCCCCTCCAGACTCCCTTTCTCCCGACCCCTGGAGGGCTCCCCCCCTGGCCGCCAGCACTTTCTCGGCCCGGTCCTTTTAGCCCCTCGGCTTCTCCTGTTGTCTGTCTGTGTGTCCCGCCCCGCCCCCGCCTTCGCCTCCTTTCTATCCCGACTTTTCTGTTTCTCTGCGTGCGGCCGGGGCGGGGAGCCAGACTCCCCTCTCCTTGCCGCGTTGCCAGCATTGTCTGCTCGCCGCCGCCGGCCTCGGTCCGTTTTCACCTCCTTTTCCTGCCTCTGGGGTCTGAGAACTCGAAAGCTGTCGTAGGAGCGCAGAGAAAGGGAAAGCCTGCCCTGGGGCGTGGTACCTTTAGTGGGTCCCTTCCTCAGAGTTGGCTTTAGAGTACGTGATCTTAGCGTCACGGAGGATGTCCTGAAGACTCTCAGTGGAAAAGGAACAAAGCCGGAGGAGAGGGGAAAAAAATCGATAAGGGGAAGAAAGTCTGTGTCAGAGAGTGTGCCCATGGCTCATAGACCGGGTTCCCAGTCCTGCTCTGGAATGACTCGAAGACTGAGAGATGAACTTGATCTTTCTCAAGTGCACAGAGGCTGGTGGGTGGAGTAGACCGGTGCTTTCTTGCCCTCGCAGCTTACCTTGGCTGTGAGCTGGTCAGCCGGCGCAGATAGTTCCCCTAAACATCGGGCAGCCTCCACCGCAGAAAGGGCTCCCCTCCACACCCCAAACACTGCAAATGAGCTTCCTCTGAGGAGGACAGCCCTGTCCTCCAACTCTGCAAACAAAATCATTCTCCGTCTGAGCTTGAAGGAAATTTATACATAAAGAAATGGGCGTCAAAACTGAGTGTTTTTCCTAATTGGTCATTTTAAGGTGTACCCACAACATTTAAAATAAGATGCGGGGAGAATGTTAAAATAAATGTAGGGCAGGGGAGATAGCTCAGTGGCATAAGTGCCTGCCTGGCAAGCATAAGGTCCGAAGTTCGATCCCCGGTACCAGAAAACAAAACTGACAACAAATGTAGGTCATGGTATGTGCTTTCCAATGCATGACACTGCAGAAGGAGCAATTAGACATGTAACTCTCCAGGAATCATTTGAGCCTGAGATTAAATTGCCCAAATGAAAGGCAGTGTATTGTCAGTCACAAAATACTGGTGGGGAGGATGTTTATAGAGATAACGGAGTAAGTACCATCGTAAAGGCAATCAGTAGCCTGTCTTAACTGTCTAGACTGAATAAAACTATGGTTTTCATTTGGCCACATTTTGAGTTTGGTATCCCTAGTGACTTTTATGAGAATCAATTTTTTCTGTTAATTTTTAAAAACTCCTTAAATTTAAAGTTCTTACCTCCTGTTTCCTAATTCTGCTGAGTTGAAGGACAATGAAGCCTGCAGGACCAGGATTCAGGGCAGAGGGCAAATTTGAAGCCAGCCTGGGCAATTTATGGAGACCCTGTCTCAAAATTAAAATGAAGATGGACAAAAAAAAAAAAAAAAAAAGGAATGGGGTTGTAGCTGAGAGGAACAGCTCTTGCCTAGCATGTACAGGGCTCTTAATTTTATCCCCAGTAAAGAATGTATTGTCCTGATACAGATCTTTAAGAACACTTAAGGTTTTGGGATTTTTGTTTTTTGTTTTTTTGTATTGGAGGTTGGACCCATGACTTTCTCGCACTGAACTGCATCCCTAGCTCTTTTTGGGGGGAGGGGTACAGGATTTCACTAAGTCATTAAGTTGCCCAATTTGTGGTACTCCAGCCACAGCCTCCCAGAGTGCTGGGATTATAGCCATGTCCCACCACACCCACTTCCTTTATGATCTTTTTAAAAGTTTAAGAAATGACAATTTAAATAAGGTAAATCTTTTTCTTAGTTTTTATATACCCTTCATTGTAAAGGTATACTTTGTGCTCTTTTAGCTTTGTTGACCAAAAATCACTAACTTGTTAAGTTTACTCTTATTCAGTGCTCCTTATGTGGGCAGCATTGTCTTAAATGCCCTCAAATTGTATTTTTTATTAAAATTATTTCAGTTGTTAAAATGTAACTACATGTAAGTAAAGAGTCCCCCAGAAGTTTTCAGGCAAGGGAGGAACACATAGCCCTAACTTGTTCTTTTACTCTTTAGTTCTGGGTTAAAGCTTTCTTCACTGAACCCAGAGTGCATGTGGTTTTCATTGTGGGTGGAGGCTCACAAATAAGGAGCCACACCCATGCCTCTTAAAGTAGGGTGTAAACCGCTCAAATTCCTCCACTGATATCCAAAAAACATTTCATTTTGCTTTGGTATTAGTAAAAGCCTCCCCCCCAAAAAAAATTTATAGTAAGGTAGCTGAGTCTAATGCCTTAAATTTGTCATTACAAAACCATTTTGCACAAATAAATGAAAATGTGTGGCTCTGAGGTAGAGCCTTGTTTTTGAATCTGCTGTGAACAAATAACTATGATTTTTTTGCTCAAGTATCTTTTTTTTTAAATACTGCTAGTGGTAAGCCTTTTTTCTTTAGTAGTAACAAGTGTTTTCACATTCTGTACAAGTCCTGTTTAATCCACAGAACAATTTGAAAAGCTGCTAAATATTATGGGGGAATCTTTAAGAAGACTTTTAATAGAATACACTGTCTTTGTAAATGGCCTTGGGAGCCTCCTGATTTTTACTCAGCTTTATATTGGGATGAAGGAACAGAAGCAGATCACCGGGGAAGAGGGCACAATGAAGATAAAGTGTTGAGCGCTGTTACCAGTGCTGGCACAAGTGGTAGTGAACAGAAGAGCCACGTGCGATGACATTAGTTAGCCAAAGTATCTGGAGAGAAAAGAGACTTTAAATTTAGGAGAAAAATAGATACAAAGTTTCTCATCTGTTTGTGTCTCTCTACCCTGGTACAAAAGATTGTCAGAGCCTTTGTACTGAGCTACACTCCTAGTCCTTTTTTAATTTTATATTCTGAGGAAGGATCTTGCTGAGTTACCTAGGCTGCACTCAAACTTGCAGTCCTTGTGCCTCCCAGAGTGTATATCGCATGCGTGTTCCACCATGCCCAGCTGGTGGTGTTTTGTTCTTAGGTAAAATGAGGAAGTTGGGACCTCTTGTTTTTAAGGTGTCTTCCATCACCATAATTGTGATTCTTTTTCCTTTGTAATATTGTCTCTTTTATAGTTCTTTATTGTAGCTTGTAAATGGAAGCAACCAGCAGAGATTTATTGAATACCTTAAGGCTGTGTCAGAGTATATCTATCTATGTATTTTAGTCATAGATTAGTTTTTTTGTTTCTTTTTTTTTTTTTTTTTGGTGTTGTTGTTGAGATAGGGTGTTGTCATTTAGTTCAGGAGGGGTTTGATCTCACTGTATAGTGTCCGGGCTGGCCTAAAACTCAAAGTAGTCCTCATGCGTCAGCCTCCTGAGTGCTGGGATTATAGGTGCGCATTACTGTGCCTGGCTATAGATCAGTTTCTTAAACTATAGAAATAGAAAACCTAAAAGTTATGTTCATAAACAGTACATGTTTATTGAAGAAAATATAGAAAAACATGGCATGGGCCATGCCAGAATAAAATTATCTATTATAATCTCACTGCCTAGAATTAATCTACTAACATTTTGGTTGTTTTTCTAACAATTCTGTGTGTACCTATAATATACACATATAAGAAACACAAGTGAGATCATGATATACACTTTGTATGTTCCAAACGATACACATTTTGCACTCTGTTCCTTTTGCCTAGATTAGCAACCTTTTCCCTGGCATTAAATAATTGAATGTATTTTAACTGTTTGCTTATTTCATTGTTGGCCTGTGACCCAGAATTCCCGCCCATGCTGTCCTTCAGTTCTGTTTTTGTATATACGTGTTATTTCTGGTTTCCTTTGGCCCACAGTGCTATATTGAACCTTTTGTGTATGAATCATTATGGGTCTACCTTTTTTTCTTGGTGTCAGGGTTCAAACCTTGTGCTTACCAGGCTGTCGCTTATGCTGCTGCGCTAGCTCCCTAACCCTGGAGTTACTTTTGATTGTTGATATTTCTTTATACTGGGGTTTGAACCTAGGGCATTGTATGCTAGCTGTGCACTCTGCCACGGAGCTATAGCCCGAGCTGCTTTTATTTTTTGGGTTAAGACCTCCTTAACTTGCCCAAGGTGGCCTGAAATTTGCAATCCTCCTGCCTCAGCCTCCTGAGTAGCCAGGATTACAAATGTGTAACATCACACCTGGATACATGGTGTTTTTATCAGGCTTCCATTAAATTTTATTTATTTCCTTGTTAAATTGTTTCTAACTTCTCATAATAGAAATTATGGCACAAGCGGGCCAGTTTATGTTTATGTTGTGCCAGGTTATGTTTTTACCAGTGGGGCTATAGAGTGCATAAAAGATTTATGCCAACTTGAAGTCTCTTACCTCTTCTTTCTTTCTAGCAGCCATGGCAATGACAGGCTCCACACCTTGCTCATCCATGAGTAATCACACCAAAGAAAGAGTGACAATGACCAAAGTGACACTGGAGAATTTTTATAGCAACCTTATCGCTCAGCATGAAGAACGAGAAATGAGGTAAAGAATCATTTGAAAAAATTATATCATAATTGTGGCATTTATGTCCTGTTGTAAAACAGACTCATAACATTGTTGCAGGAGGCCACTGTAGTACTGGCCACATTGTCGCCTACCCCATGTTGTGGAATAACAGTGTAACAGGTAGGCTTGCCACTAGGTGGTAGACCTCGGTCTGGAATCCTGCCTGTGCCACTCAGGGCTGTCTGATTCTGGAATTAGTTATTTAGTCTCTTTGTGTGTCATCCTACATCATGATGGTGGAGAGTACTAGTTGTACTGCAGGATTGCTATGGAGTTAGATATAGCAAGTTAATGCTCACATAGTGATCACTTACTGTTAGTGAGTTTTCTGTTGCTGTAAGAGCATCCCCGAGAAGAACAATTTGCAGGAGGAAAGATTGGCTTTGGCCCCCAGTTTCAGTCCTCACCTGGCTGGGTCTGTCAGTTTGGAGCAGCATGGCAGCGGGACTTCACGGCAGCCAGGAAGTGGAGAGAAGCCAGAGGGGCTAGAGGCAAGAGACGGTCCCGCAGGGTTACAGCCCCGTGACTCTCTTCAACCGGGTTCCATCTTCCAAGTTTCTGTCACTTCCCAATAAAGCCATCAAATTGACAGTCATGCAGGTATTAAGCTACTGATGAAATTAAAGCCCTTGTGATCCAGTCCCTACCTAGAATCCCACCTCTGAACTGTGATGCATTGCAGACTCAGCCTTCAACACGGGACCCTTCTGAGGCACATTTTAAATCCAAACCCTAACATGTAGTTAATAGTAATAGAAGCAGCTGTTATTATTGCTGTTACTGACCTGGTGTACTCTCCATGGAATGCCTCATTGTTAAAAATACTTTGTGCAACATTTTATAGTAAAAGTATTTGAAACTACTGAAAAGGTTGAAGGAATTGTATAGTGAATACTTTTATACTTACCTAGACTCTAGATACTTTTATTCTTACCTAGATTCATTTATTAGTTTTTATCACATATGTGTTATTCTACTCCTCTATCCACTCATTAATCCATCCTAAATTTTTGCCATACTTCAAAGTATGTTGCAGGAGCTGGGGAGATAGCTTGGTGGTCTAAGCACCTGCCTAGCAAGTGCAGGGATCAGGGTTCAATCCCTGGTACCACATACCAGGCAGGCCCTGACCCAGGCACACGTGCAGGCCACCAAAACCAGGCATGGTGTGGTACTCTTATAATCCCAGCGCTGAGGAGGCTGAGACAGAATTACTGCAAGTCAGAGCTGTGTAGCCAGACTCTGTACCTTATTAATTTTAAAAAGAAAATTCCTTAAAAATACTACAAAAGGAAAAGTTTGTTGCAGACATCAGTGTGCTTTACTTCTGCAGAATAACATTAACTAGAGTTCAGTATTTACATGTATATTTTGAGGGTATAAAATTTACCTACCATGAAATGTGTGAGTTGAAAGATGCCATTTGGTGAGTTTTGACAAAGGCTTACTCCTGCTTAACTTAAAATCCTGTCCAGATGTAAAACATTACCATCCTCCCAAAACTTCGTGCCTGTCACTCCTCAACTTAAGGCAGCTACTGGTGTGATTTTTGTTTCCACCACGGATTAGCCTTGTCCGCTCCATACACTTTGAACCTGTAGATGTTATACAATAAGTACTCACGCAAGTAAGGCATCTTTCAGTGTAAGGTTTCTGAGGTTCATTTATGTCACTGGATCAGTAGTTTGTTCCTTTTTGTTGGTGAGAACCTTCTGTTTTCCGATTGTACCTCAGGGTATTTGTCCATTCTCCTGTTGATAAATATCTGGGTTCTTTTCAGTTTTGAGCTGTGTTGTATAAACTTCCATGAATATTTCTGTACAAAATTTTTTGTGAACATTTATTTCATTTCTCAAATACCATTGAGTAGACTTGCTAGATGATAAAGATGATAAAAGTACATTGTAGGTATGTATTACTTTTATTAGAATCTGGTAGACCATGCTCCAAAATATCACCAGTAGTATATGAGCATTTCAGTTGCTTTACATTTTTGTTAACATTTATGCTGTCAATATTTTAACTTCAGCTTTTCTGGAGGATACTTAATGTGTCTCAATATGGTTTTTGTATTTAATTTGCATTCCCTTGATGATTAGTGATGTTAAACCTTTTTTTTTTTTTTTTTTTTGTGGAACTGGGGATTGAACTCAGGCCCTTGCGCTTGCCAGGCAAGTGCCTATTCTACTGAGCCATCTCCCTGGCCCCTTTCTGTGTTTTTTGACCATTGTATATTTTCTTCCTTGAAGTATTTGTTAAATTTTTTTTCAGCACTAAGGATTGAACAACCCAGTGCCTTAGGCATGCTAGAACCACATTCCTGGCCCTTTCGAAAAAATATTACTTTGAAACAGGGTCTTACTAGATTGGTAAATTGCTTAGGCTGGGTTTGAATTTGTAATCCTTCTGCCTCAGCCTTCCAAAGGGCTGGCATTATAGGAGTGTGCCACCACTTCTGGTGACTTTCTTTTCAATGTGTTCGTCTTTTTTTTTTTTTTTTTCTTTCTTTCTTTTTCTTGCCTTACTGGCAGTGACTTCCAGTAAAATGTTGAGAAAGTGGTGAAAGTAAGCATTTTGTTTTCTTCTCACTTTGACTAATAACCCACCATTGCACTACTAGTCATATTATTCGTTGTAGATTTTTCAGAGATGTCCTTTGTAGATTGAGGAAGTTTTCTTTTTTTTTTTTTTTTTAAATTTTATTTATTTATTTGTGTGTGTGTGTGTGTGACCAGCTCAGCCCACCAGGGTGCGGGGCTGGCTGGCATGTGGTGCTGGGGGATTGAACCACGGTCCCTGTGCTTTGCTAAGCTTGTTCTAAGTAGGTGCTTTAGACCACTGAGCCATCTCACCAGCCCGAGGAAGTTTTCTTATACTACTGTTTGAGAAGTTTTTATTTTGTTATTACTGTTTTTGTGGTACTAGAGATTGAACCCGGGGCCTTCACATTGAGCTACATCCCCAAGTCTTTTAAATTTTTTTTGAGATAAGAGCCCATTAAGTTGCCCAGTTTTTTAACCCCTGTGTTTGCACTTGTAGTCCTTCCTCAGGCTTGTCTTGAGCTCACTGTGATCCTCCTGCCTCAGCCTTCCAAGTGCTGGGACTACAGGTGTGCGCCACCACACTTGGCAGCTATATAAGTGGAATAGACAAGTATTTCATATCTGGTTGTGATCAGCTGATGTTCACTTATGCAAACATGCCACATGTCCCAAATTAGGAAGAATTCAGAGATAAATTTGCATAATACATGGGATGTGAAACCTGTTGGAGATAGTTACTGTCAAATGCAACCACTCTTTAAATCAGGTAGATTATACTTGTAATTATAAAGCAAATATGGATTTTGATATAGCTATTTTGTTTCATGATAATCTGTTGGTTTTTATCCTATTGGTTTTGCCTTAGTTGTAGTTTATCTTTGATATATATCACATTCTATAGGAAAAAAGATATATATGGTTTGTTTACATTACTGTTATATTGTGATTTATACTAATATTGTATCCTCAAATAGTGTTGAGTTAGGGTTTTCTTTTGTTTTATTAGAGTTTTAAGATTAAAAGACTTTCCAAAAGCTTTGATTGTTTCGCTCTTACTTGTCTTGTGCTTCTGTGAATGGAACCTTGAGTCCTTTTTTTAAAACTCCAAAAAGACTAAGTAAATGAAAAAAAAGATGGTAAGAAAAGCCAGGCATGATGGTGCATGCCTCTAATCCTAGCACTCAGGAGACTGAGACAGGAGGATTGCTCGGGAGTTCAAGACCAACCTCTGGGGTACAAAGTGAGTTCAAGGCCAGTGGCCAGCTTTAACTGCATGGCAAAACCCTGTCTCAAAAAGACAAAAAAAAAAAAAAAAAAAAAATTAGATATTTAAGAGAGAATATTCATTAATTTTTGTCGTTATTAATTGTTATTTTTATTAGAAAAGAGATACTTGAAAAAAAGAAAAGATACCTTGAGCCTTTAAAGTCAATACCAGTTTATCTGGGTGTGGTGGTTCGAGCCTGTAATCCCAGGATGGCTGAGGAAGGAGGGTCGCAAGCCAAACCCAACCTTGGTGATTTAGTGAGATCTACCTCACAATAGAAAATTTAAAAAGAGGATGGAGATGTAACTCAGTACAAAGTTCCTGTATTTAATCCCCAGTACTAAAGAAATAAAAGCAAAACACAATAGTGTTTCCATATAAATCTTTTTTGTTTTGTACCCTCTTTTCTGGATGAGTTGATGGTTGGGTTTGGTTTGTTGATACAATTTGATGTGACATTTAGATTTTATTATTGCTAGAACATTGAAACAAAAAGAGGTGATTGGCTGGAGATATCTCAGCAATAAGTAAACTGAAGTAACCCTGTCAGAAGTGAGTTTTCAAACTTTAGATGCTATGGTAAAGTATCATAAAATCTTACTAAACAGAATTTTAGGAATATGAGTCAACTGATGAAGAGAAAATATTTTACTATTGGTACATAGTAACATACTTGACAGGTTGAAATAATCTGTGTAATTTGCATGCAATTTATGTGTTTTTCCATTTGGTAGAACACAAGGTTGTTAAAAAAAAAAAAAACAACTTACTGCATGGAGCCATGTGTCCAAAGTCTGGAGATAGGACTGGCCAAATAGCTCAGCGGACTAAAGCTCCTGCAAGCAGGCGCAGGGGCCAGGGGTTCGATCCCCGGGCCTGCTGGACTAGCCTCACTCCCAGGGCCTGCTGAGAGGGCAGTTGAGACTGGGCATGGTAGTGCACACTCTGCCTGTAAATCAAAGCTCTTGGGAGGCCATAAACAGGTGGATCACTATGAATCTGATCTAGTAGTGAGACCCTGAACACCCTGAAGACCCTTCCCTAAAATACAAAAAAAAAAAAAGTCTGGAAATAGAAGACAGACTGAAATATCTGGGGGATTATTTCCTGTTACAAGAAAAATATGAGAATTTAGAGTGGTTTCATAGAAACACTATGGCAAATTT